CCCGCTCGTGTGTGCTCTCTCTCTAATAAATAAATTAAAAAAAAAAAAAGGTGACAAAGAGCAAGCTGAGGCCCAGGCTGGGTTGGGGAAACTAATAAACCCTCCAGAGTTTAGATCCAGAGGCTTTGGGACTTGGTACATTTAAGTCTGGTCTAGGTGGACACTGCAGCATCCCAAAGCTAGATGCAGGGCTGGAGTGGGGTGGCGGGTAATTCCCAGACTGTACCTCCCAGTTGGGAGGAGCAGAGCTGCTACCATTCTCCCACAGTTTGTCTGCGAGTGGCTGGCCACTCTGGGCGCCAGGGGGCTGGGGCTGGAGCCGACCCAGTGTGTCTGTCCGTGGCACTCACCAACCAGAGCAGACCTACCTCTCCCTCACGGGCCAGATGCCAGAAGGTGCCATCCTCAGCTGCTCACAAAAAGGACCAGGGCCTTACTGCACAGATCTCCTCGTTGTAAAAAAAAACAGGTGGGCATGAAAATCTTGAAATTTGGAAGCTTTGTTAATTTGGTCAAAGGACAGTGGTTTTCTTTGCCCTCCCAAGAAGAAATGCATCCCAAATCAGCTGCTGGGTTTGAATGAACAGAACAGAGGCAGGCAGGAAAGGGAGGAGGGGGATATAAACAATGTGTTATTTTACTGGAGCCAGGTTTATTAAGGAACCTTGGTCAGGAATCATACCCCGAGACTTAGATGGCGATTAATTGATGTTCGGTGAACATCAGTGACAATTTCAGTTGCATCTCTTCTCAGTTAAAGCCATCAATGGCTTTGGGATTCTCTGTACACTTTATCCGAAAGCACTCATGCACTTCTTTCCTACGAATATTTTTGCTGGTCGGTGCTTCTCCCTGCCCAGCACAGGTTCATGGCTGACGTGTTTGCTTGCTTGTTTTTGCAGGAACAGTGCCCCGTGGTGATATGGTCAAGTGACATCCATTTGGGTGGATCCCAAAAACTATCTTGCCTTTTCTTGCCCCCCTTAACCGACAATGTGTCCAGAATCTGACACCTCTTACGACATCTATGGTTGTTGTTCTGGCCCAGGTCATCTCTTGCCTGGTCACTGGCAACGGCCAGAGCTGGCCTTCCGTCTCCCAACCAGACCCCCGCGCCCCTGTCAACTCTCAACACAGCACCCAGAGTGCCCCCCACCCCAGCACAGCAGACCTTCGGAGCGAGGCTTGCTTAATCGTACCCATCAGCGGTTGTCCTATCAGTGGTTCAGCCTCCTGGGATAGGATTCAAGCGTGTCCAGAAATACCTCCGGAGATCTGATCTTCCGCATAAATCGTTCAGGAGCGATGCCGCTTCCTCCACGGTGTGAAGGTAGAGGAACACAGAGGGGCGTCAGAGAGGGCCGCCAGACGCTGCCCTGCTTGGGAAGGGAAAATGTCACACCACCCGTGCAGACGAAAAACCAAACACCCAATTTTATTTTTACAACGTGAGTTACTGTCTTGTGTGTGAGTGAGTCACCAAAAGGAGGCTCCGCTTGGGTTTCGCCAACTCCTCCGCAGTGGCCTCTGACCTTGGCTGGGTTTGGGCTGGTTCTGGCTCCGGGCAAGGGTGAACAGGCTCCAAACCTTGCACTTGATAGTAGTGTGTTTCGCCGTGCACTGTGGAAACGGATGTTCCTGCTTGCTTTGCAGAAGGACTCCCAACGAAGGCTGAAGTCGAATCATCTAGTTTTCTTTGCAACCCCGTTTAAAAGGTAGGAAAGTAGATCCTCTTACCATATAAAAGGCTCGTCTAAGATACACCTCAAACTACAGGAAACCGTGCGCCCTTTTATATCCACTTATTAAAAAACCGTGTAAAGAGAAACTTTTTTTGCCCCTTGGGGCAGCATGGCTTTATTTGACACTAGAAACCCACTGGACATGGTGGTAAAGTGCATGGACAAAAGCGAAACTTAGTTCCTGGAATGCCTCCTTTTGTAATGCATGCCTGGGACAGTGACCGGTCACTAGACTTTAAGGTTTTTCATGGTCGTGGAAACCTCAAGGCTTGTCTACGTTTCTTTGCTTGTGGAATATTTTCTGCGGGATCTCTGGAGCGACTGCTGGCCCACAGTCAAGTTCACCTGCATCTCTTCATCAGGACTGCCCTGGCTTACCGGCTGGTGGCTGGATCCCCAGGTGGTTTCAGGGCAAGGACTGTTGTGTTAAAACCACCTGCCATCTGTTGGTGAAAATTTCTGGGCTTCTAAATGATGAGTCACTTATTTCTCCTGCTGTTCCTTCTGCTGCCAGGACTAATTTACCTCTTAGACCGTATCAGGGGAGATGCTGGGAAAACTAGTCTTGAAGCTTTGTCCTAAGCAAAGTTCACGTCCCTAATGACCACTATTCCTGGTGAAGTCGCTAGAAAGGTGGGGGAGGACTCGCCTTTGCATTTCCACAGGGCCGGCGAGGGGACAGCAAGAGCCTATCTGCTCCTCACTCCAGGGTCCTTCGCAGGTAAACCTACAGCCACCCACTTCGGTCGGGTTGGAGTTGAGAGTCCCGAGGTGGTTCCACATTTCCTTGCCAGTGGTCCCTTAGTGGGACGCCAGTGCCGGCCACCCGTGTGTGATACAGGGTAGGTCCTCAGTAACCACTGGTTCGATGAATGAGTGAGGTCTGTGACTACAAAGTGGTCACCCAAGGCCACCCATGAGGCCAGGGTGCCCACATGACCGTGCCACCTACAGAGTCATCCCTCTGACAGTCTGATAGAGGCCACTCTTGCCAACCTCCAAAGGAGAGTACTCAGAATGATTTTTAGAAGAAATTCAGGAGACTCTTGCCACACAGAGCTTGGTGCTATCCTGTAACCTAAAAGCAAGAGCTATGGGAAGGTGGGAAGGGTGGGTAGCTGGGGTGCCTGGGGACGAGGACTTGGATTTCACAGCGAGTCCAGTGCTTTCCCAAGAAGGTGAGGTTGGTGAGCCCCTCTGTCCGCCAGAGCACCGTGGCCGGAGTCCTGCACTAAAATAGAAGCCGTGCTTCTCCACTGACTCGGTTTCACACAAATCAATTTTTATTGTGTCATCATCCTTTTGTTCCCAAAGAAGTTTATTAGGGTGGCTCAAATCTAGCTTTATTCACATGTCCTAAGACACCCTAAAATATTTCTATGTTTCATGCCTTCCACTTTTTTTTGCCACCCCCAAATTCCAAGCTAAATTGCAGCAGCAAAACCCTAAGTGCAGAAGATTCTAGCTCCCTCGAGCATGCTCCGTTTCACTGAAGTTTTCTACAGATTTCCTGCCTGGAGAAATTACCGAGTCCCAGGTGGGTGGGATTTTATTCTTACCGTAGAGTAGGTGGCTTTTGTGGGAGGATCTTCCCCCAGCCTCCTAGATCAGAAGCGGATATGCACCTGAGTCCTGGGTGGGAGTTAAACGCTTGTACTGAGAGTACCGGGCTCGACCCCCCAGTCCCCTCCATCATGGTCGCTGGTTAGGAGAGGTGGCCAGCTGCGTGGGCCTGCCCGAGGTGCTGCAAGCCCCAGCTGACCTTTGCAACCAAGCTGGTATTAGGAACTTGGACCACACATTCTGAAAGAACCCACTCTCGAGTGATCTGGGTGGTGTGGGATGCAGGAAGGACAAGGTGAGCCTCCTTTAGAGGAAATGATGTTGGCGTTAATCTCCATGGCTGAGTATCAAGTTGCCGGAAGTAACATTTCCAGCTGCCTTCCTTATCTACGTACAAGACGCACTTGCTGCTGAGGCTGCCACGCTGATAGGCTTCTAGAACCCCTGCCTTCTCTGTGTACCCAGGGGCAGGGAGAGCGCATCCATACTCAGCGCTTCGTGATGGCTGAGCCCTTGAGGGACCGGCTTCCCTACTCTGAATGGTGATTTGGCTACAAAGAGGATCCTGAGGAGAGCTGGAAGCCTTGCTGAACTCCCGATACAAGAGAACTTTGGCAAACTGTCCACGTCACCACTTCAGAGTTGGAAAGCCAAGACCCTGTGGTCTTCAACACAGCTACGGGCTAAGGCATTCAATCAGACAGACACGTGGGCACATGGTCAGCTGAGTGACGCCCAGTGGAGGCACCCTTGTCCTCCCGGAGGTTCCGACATCACAGAACAGGGGCACCGCTGTCCCCGCTCCAGGGAGTCTCTGTTGGAAGGAGGCGAGACACTGAAACCACGTCTCCATACCCAGATAGGCCAAGGGTGCCTTTGGCGCAAACTAGTACAAACTTGTAGTTTGTACAGTTTAAAAACAGAAAGATTCCATTAGTGACAAAAGCAAAGGAGATCAGATTACACCGGTTTTTCTCAGTTTGGGAAGAGTGCCGCATGCAGAGAGTAGCTACCGATATTTGCCAACCTACTTATTCTCTATTTAAAAGTGGCTACTTGGCTAATCCATGGTGGTGGGAGCAATTTACTTTCTAGCTCTCAGACTATTTCAGAAACGTTGATGTGTTGGGGGATTCGTATTAGCAAGAGACTTCTTCTTCCCTCTGAAGCCACGTCACACAAACAGTAATCCCCAAGAAACGCCAGCCACCCAAGCCCAGCCAAGGGGCTGCTTCCAAGATAGTGTCAACTGCCTGTTTCTTAAAGATGTTTGCAAGAAATACAAATGCCAGTTCAACATTTCCTGAGCCCTGGTTATTTGCCAGACTAGAATCCTCCCTGGGAAGTATTTAATCCTGCATCAAATACAGAAAGGCAAACCATTGGCTTCAGGAGAGTGAGAGTTCATTGTAAAGGCAAGCGGGGGCTCCAGAAAGGACCCAGAACTCGGGGAAGGGGGAGACCTGGTCACCGTGGTTACAGGAACAGCCCTGGTAACTTGCCAGTCCACTCCAGTGCTGGAGGCAATTTAACGACTGGAGGAGAACCTTCTCAGTGCGCTTGGTGCATGTGCAAACTTCCCTCCTTCAGAGGAGGGGCTGTGAAGATGAGTGCCAAGGATCACAGCCGCACCAGGTTCACGTGGCACTTGGTACCGAGCTGCCGGGAAGGCCACAGCACCCAGGCGTGCTCCTTACTCAGAGACCCAGGACCCCAGCTGGGGGACTGTGGACTCAGGGCTCCCCCTCCCCTTCTTCCTGAGAGATGCCCAGCACCGACTTGTGGGGGATTTTGCACTCCTGCAGAGATCTGGTGAGGTCAGAGAAACGTCTCCTGGGCAGCCCCATCACTGCGATGCTGCAGGGCTGGTAACTGGCCTGGTTCTGGTGTTCGGCCACGGCTACGACGGTCTGTAAGGCGTCGGTGGGCCGGAAATGGTGAACGAACCTTCGGCCCGACGGCGATCTGATGGCCAGCAGAAGCCTCGGCTCTCGATCTGATGTCTCCTCCACGTCCCCAGCCCCGGGGGAGGTCTGTCTCCTGGTCTGGATGATGACTTTCCTCTCTGGGGAATAAGCAGGAGCTCTGGAATCTTCTTCACTTGTCTTCACGGTGCCAGTCTCCTCTTGGTCAAGAGCCTGGATGCTGCCCAGCTGCAGGGAGCCGACCTTTTTAGCTACTGTTTCCACAGACCCCTCCTCCAGGGTCTTCCTGTTGATGGAAGGGAGGACTGGGTATTTATTGAGGGAAGAGGATGCGCCAGCCAGCACCTGTTGCAGCAGCTCGGGGATCTCATCGGGAGCTCCCGGGTTTGGAGACTTGGGTGCACAGGCTCCCGGTCTCTGGCTGCTTGGCGACTCGCAGGGGATGGCTGGAGGCAGGGAGGCTGGCGCGCGGTGAGGGCACAGCTCTGCGCCCTGTGGTCTGTGCAGACTGGGCCGCGTCCGTCCCTTGGCGGACTTGGGCCTGAGGACGTGCATGTTGGCCGAGTCTGGCTGCCAGATGAAGCTGTCAGCTGTCGAGCTGCCGACGGTGCTGCGTTCAGGAGGGGCTAGGTTCACAGGGGCTTCTGTGGCCATTGCTTCTGCAGACCCCTAAGGAAGCAGGAGAGAAGAGAAGCCGTGGGTTACACTTCCCAGGACTCCTGCCTCCAAGCCATTCACCCCCAGGGGCCGGAATTAGTGCCAACTGGCCAGGAGGGCTTCTCTCTGGATTTCGGGCATCGGGGGAGGGGCACCGGCTGCCATTCATTCCTTCGCTCGATCAGTCATTCCAATCACTTGGAAAAATCAGTGAACCAAGAGTGAGGGAAGACAGGTGTCGAGCCCACCAGTAAAGAGGTATTTTCAATGAGTAATAATTGAAGTGAAATAAACAAAGTAGGCACCAGAGAGTGACTGGTGGGGGGGGGGGTAGACAAATTCTTATTCTCACCGGGGTAGGGGATACTTTAAGCTGAGAGACCAGAGGGATGAGAAGCAACAAGCCTTGTCACAATCCAGAGCGGGGACTGGCTAATTTTTTCTGAACAGGTTTTCAGTATTTGGGAGCCACGTGATCTCTCTTCCAATGACTCAACCCTGCCCTCGAAGCCACTGACCCGTTTTCCCTCTCTCCCCTAGGCCTTTCCTAACTCTCCCTTTCTACCCACAGTTTGACCTTCCTTCCTTTTCCTTCCTCTTTTCATTCAGCTTTGCTGCCCTTTTAGTTACTATTAACAGTAACAGTAATCCCCAAGGTGTCTCTGCACAGATCACTTAATGTCAAAAATCCCTCCACCGCCCTAACGTTGTCACCAGGGGGGTGGGGAAGGGGAGGGGGGGCACCCTTGCTGATCTCGGCCCATTGGCCAGAACTCACAGGGAGGTACACAGGTCCTAGACCAGGGGCCAGCAAGCCTTTTCTGTAAATGGCCAGATAGCCAATATTTTCAGTTTTGCCGGCCTCGGGGTCAGTGGCAACTCTACAACTCTGCCCTTGGGGTGTGACAGCGCCACAGACAGCAGGTAAATAAACGGGTGAGGCTATGTGCCAATAAAGCTTCGTTTATGGACACTGACCTTTGAATTTCATATCATTTACATGTGGCACAAAAGATCCCTTTTCTTTCTATTTTTTTCCCCAACCATTTAAAAGTATAAAGCCTATTCTTAGCCCACAAGCCACACAAAACTGGCAGTGGGCCATCGTGTACCAAACCGTGTCTTAGACCCACTCCACAGGGGACTCTGCGCACGCGCTAATCCTACAGATGTAGGAGCCAGAGGGTGAGAGCAACTGCCCCCTGGTCACAAAGCCAGTTATTGGCAGAGCCTGAACTAGACCCAGGTCTTGTGACACCCGGCCATGTTCTGGAGGACCAGGCTTCGCCTTCCGTCTTCCCAGCTACCTGGTGAACACTCTGAGGGCTTCTGTATGTGCGTCTCCCGCTGGGGGTGCTCATGCGTGCTAGCCAAATCCCACAGAAGCCCCGTGTTCCCAAGGTCGGTAGGAGGCGTGGGCATTCCTCTGTGCAGGCCCGAATTGCCAGATCGGGTCTCTTTCTCCCCTCCTCACCATCTAGGTGGCCCCTTCATTAACCCGATTACCACCACCTCCCCCTTCCACGCCCTGCTTACATCCTTCCCTGGACACTGTGGGGCGTCTAGGGCTCCTGTCCTCCCTTGGAATCCTGACCACCACTGCACAAGCTGACCAGGTGCCTCCCCACCCTCTAAAGGCCTTCTGGTAATTTCCCAGTGCCCCATGGTCCCCAAGCAGCAGCATGTCTGAGTGCAAAGGAACCAGGACCTGATGTCCTAAGTCCGGGGTTCTATTGCAGGCTCTGCCGAGAGTTAGCTGAGCCACCGTGGGACCGCCATTCTACCTTTCTGATACATCTCTTTCCTCATCTATAGAATTAGCCATATGGCCTTGAAAACATTATTTAAATACCTCCCAGGTCAGTCCCTTTTTCTGCACCAGGAAGACAGTAATACAAAATCATGGAACCACGGCTGTAAGCCCCCGGCTCGGGGCATGTGTAGTCAAGGCTTAAGAAGAGTTAAGGTTCTTTTGCTTTTGTGTCTGGTTTTCTCTTTGCTTAGTGTTTTCTATTATTTTAGGTCCAAAAGCCCTGCCTGTTGCTCCAGAGCTTTTTCCCCAGGGGGCCTTAGGTGGTTCTGCTCCTAGTCACCTCTAACCAGCCAGGCAAATCCTGGGACCCGTGCGTGCCCCGCCCACTGCACAGGAACGCGGGAAGGTTGATTTCAGCGAGCTACTGCCTATGAACTTGCCTCAAAAATGCAGAATGATGCTTTTTCTAAGAAATGCCTTCTAATGCCCCACTTTAATTGCATCCTAACCTCAAACCAACTTACCCCAAGCTACCTTCGTCACACAATCCTGAGCAATGCAATTCCAGCCCTGTAGCTTTGCATTCTAACATTATCGTTCTGTGCCTCTTACCCATGTTGCCAAATTTTCGAAAGTATCCCACTCCTCTCCATTGAAACCATACCCAAACAAAACACAGTCTTCCCCTACGTTCCCAAGGCACTAGCCAGTTCGAAAGCTACCCTCCCTTTCTTAACTTAAAGGCCTCTGTGTTTGCTCCATTCCGTCCACAGACTGGGTCTTTCCACACTCCCATCTTCCACTTCTCACTAGGTTTTCACACCCAGTCTGGCTGCTGGGAGTTCAGGAACCTTCTCCTTGGCATGAAAAAATGCCGGCCCGTCTCCTTGTTAATTTAATCTATTTTCTGATCAACTGTGAAGAATGTGGTTTTTCCGCTGTTGGCTTAGTTCTAAAGTCTTTCATTTGTAATTAAGCAGCTCTGCACTTTAACTCAGGATGACATGAGAAGGTCATAATTGTCCAACTGTTCTGCCAAAGATAAGTTCAATTCGGGAACAAGCTCCCCTTCTCGGCGCCCCCCCCCTCCAGGAATGGCTATTAATTTGCCACAGCTTCTACAGAATTATCACAAACTTGGCTTCTAACTCCCACACATGCCTCGGGAAGGTTTAACTGTCAGTAAGTTTGGTAACTTAGAAACCTCTTCCTTAACAACTTTGATGAGGAAAGTCATGTGTTCTCGCAGGCTCTCTGCTGGATTATTTTTAACAGTAAAACTTGAGTATGTGCATGCACTTTCTATACCTTTTGGTACTATATAATTATCCATGTTCAGGGGGTGTCATATTCAAGACACCCTGGTCATAAGATAACATGACTGCGAGCTATCTCAGAGAAAAAAACCTCAATTATGACTAATTCCTATAAGCCCACTCATGGTTATTTAGAGATTAACACCTCCTTCAGGTAAAACCGTTCCATCGAACCTGCTTTCATAACCCACTGCCTCCTCCTGAGTGCAGGGACCATCTGTTACACGGAGGGAGCACCAACTCTCCCCAGCATCTATTCCATAGAGAGGGGAAGCTGGGGGGGGGGGAACAGGTGTTTGGGGACCTGGGCCAACCGTGCCTTTGTACCCACACCTTGGGTCCCGAACTCTGCCCCCCCCCCCCGGGTCCAGGAAGGCTTGGGCAGTGCCCATCATTAGCCCCGCTCAGCTCATTTCCCCACCTCCGGGCCTGGCAGCCACGAAACCACAAAGTGATTTGACAAGATCTAGGTGTAGGCATCCATCAAGCCGTCAGCTGAATAGGCAAGTGGCCTGTTTACTTAAACAGAATAGCTGCACCCCAGAGGCCTGCCAGGAGTCGGGAAACAAACATTCTTCGTAACTGTTTCCAGGGAACTGCCAAAAGGTGCCCATTGCTTAAGATGAATTGCCAAATCAACTGGAAACGAAGAACATTGGACAGGAAAGGCTGAGGCCATATTCCTGCTTTCCAAAGGAGCCCACCTCTCAGCACAGGGTCAGACCACCCCATTTCACTCACAACCCAAATCTAAACCCACAGCAAATGCAGTAAAATACACCCACCCACATACCATCTGCTGATACATACCGAGGATGCATACATTTGAATTGGTCTTTTAAAAATGTTTATCAGTTAATACTATCACCTGCCAACAACCCCCCCACCCCAATCCGCCCCCTGTGAGGCTTTCAAGATGAAAGCACTCAGAGGAATCAACAGGAGATGGTAGTTGGCCTGAGCAGGAGAAAACTTTGGTACCATTCCCAGTTCTACCCCCGACTAAATGATGAGAATGCACTGTCCCACGCAGAGTGCCACGTTTAAAAGGGGGAGTGGAGAAATTGGACCACAAGCCACCAAGTGATCAAAGGTTTGGAAAAGGCAGTGGGGATGGTTGCAAGAGCAACGTGGGGGAGGGGGGGAGGGGGAGAGCTCAACTATTTCCAAGTACGGACAGCTCTAAAAGGAAGGAGCTGAGCTGGAACAGCGAAGCAGGCATTTGGGGGAGGGGCAAGAAAGAACGCCTAGAAAGTGAGAGGTGCCTGGGGGAAAGAGCATGGGTCTGGGGGAGGCTCTGGGCCGGGTCCGGTCTCTCCGCGAGCAGGACGTCCTTTGGGCCCTGTGGGGCTGTCCGTGTCCCCCGTCCGCACTGCCCTGCCAGGAGGGTATGGCCCGGCGGTTGCCCAGGCCCCTCGGCTTCCGCGGAGCCCGGCAGCCGTCCCATTCCGGCAACGGTGAGCCGGGCCGGGCTGGCTTTGCCCCGGGAGTTGCCGCTTCTCCCCGGGCCCCGTCCTGTCCCCCGGGGGCGCCACCGGGGCCGAGGCCGGGGAGCCCCCGCCGCGTCCCCAGGCGGCAGGGCGCGCTCACCTGGGCCGCTGCTCCATCCGCCGCCGGCGCCCGGCTCCGTCCCGCTGGTAAACAGCCCGCGTCTCCGGGGCAACGCGGCGGAGGGGGCCACGTGCTTCCGGTCGGTGGGGCCCGGGGGCGCGCGGCTGGGGGGCCTTCTGGCTCCTCTCCCCGGGCCGGGCTGGGGAGCCCCGTGGGCTGTGACCTGGGGGCAGGCCCCGGCCCGCTCAGCGACCCCGGTTTGGGGAGAAGCTGCTGGACTGACTGATTTGTGGGCTCCCTCCAGGCTCAGTGGCTGCTTTTAGGGCTTGTGTTGAGTTGGGGCCTCTCGTCCTTGTCTGTTCTCCGTGCAAGCCTTCAACACCGAGTCCGTGACCTCCCTTCCACATCAGCCCCCCACTCCCGGCCGCTGCTGGACCCTGGATATCAACTACATCTGCCCTGCTTTGCCCCTCCTGACCATGACCCCTCTACTTCCAGCAACCCCAGTCACCTCTACCCCATTTGTCTTTCGCAGCCCATTGCCCTCTGCGCTTTCTTGCCGCCCACCAGCCTGCTTCTTGCCTGCCCTGTCCAGCCCACGGTCCTTTACCCAGGCCATTCCCTTGCGAGAATCCCCCATGCCCTTGTCCTGCTACCTCTCCCTCCCTCCCACCTGATGAAACTCCATCAGTCTACCTACACCCAGGGGCTGAAGACACCTTGACCAGCCACGGACTTCAGCGTAATTTGCGGAAAGGTGTGCTCTCCAACGTCTCCTGGACCCTTAACCCCACGCAGAAATCCTTCCACTCCCCCTCCCCCCCGCCCGTTTAGTTCTGTCTCTTCTCTCCGTGGTTATTTCAAACCTTGTCCTCTCTCCTGAAACCTCTCCCCTCTCCCCTGCCCCTCCTCCCACGCAGAAGAATCCTCACCTCCCTCTTCAGAGAGAAAGGAGAAGCCATCCTATGGAAGCCTTGTTAGTGTTCTGCCATCAGACTACACATTTGCCTGCTTTCCTCCGTCCCTCCTGCTCGAATGGGAGGGTACACGTCCTCTGATTCTGTCCAAGACCTACTGCTCTTCCAAACGGCCCCAAAGCCAGTTGCCTGCCACAGGGCCACACACATACACTCCAGACCTTTGCTCCTGCTGTTCCCGATGCCTAGAAGATTCTTCTCCACCTTCCCCAAACTCTGTCTCCTCCCTTCCTTTGCCTAATGCCCACTTACCCTTCAGATCCCAACTTGATGAATGAAGACTTTCTTCCAAAATGAAATTAAGATAGATTCAGAAGGAGCCCTTACTGGACTATTATTGTCTGCCAGGCACGGTTCTAGACTCTTAGAATGTGCAGATGGAAGATAATGTTAGTAGACATCCAAGACCAAATTATCAGAGGAAAGAATTAGGATTCATTACCTAGCATTGCGGCCAGATATCTGCTATCTTGTGTATCCCGGACACATGGACACAGGATTGCGATAGGGCATGACTCCATCCGCCAGACAAGATGGTCACAGTTTAGTTGAGGAGGTGTGTCACACGTCCCTAAAGAGTTACAAATGAGATTGTTTTCAATACAGTTTGAGCCAAGAATGGAAGAGCAGGTGCAGGCTGGACGTGGTTATGTGCCACGTGACTGACACTGATAGGAAGGTCTTCGGGCCCCGGGAGGAGGGGATCATTTCGGCAGCGATGTTTCTTCCTGTGTCAGCGAAGCTGCACCTGACCTGTGGGAGCTGCTGCTGGGCACGCCTCCTGCTAGGGTCAGCCCCCTGACCCACCCTGGGCATCTGGGGTGGCATCTGAGGCCCCAAGAGGGTGCAGGAGGTGATGGTTTTAGGAGCTGTTGGCTTTGCAGCTAGTGCTGGTGGTGGCTTATTTCTTGTAAATGATTCTGTCAGAAATATCTAAGCAATGCTCTTCAGGCCTTCGACGCCCACCCAAAAAAGATTAAAGTAGATTCTTCATCAGCTATTTTAATAGCACCTAAGAATTATGCAATCTTTTGGAAAATCAAATTGGCTTCTCCCCCTGCCCCCCGCTCTGTGTGTGTGTATGTGTGTGTCCCCACATGGGCATGAACTGAAATGGTGCTTATGCCTAGGGTCTGTTTAATATTCAGCAGCAGGTGCCCTTTGCTCCCTGGTGTCAAGTAACGTGCAGTGCTGGGGGCGGGGGGCGCTGGAGGGAAGGAGCCAACCAGCCAATTGCTGTGCCTTCCTGCTCTTTAAAGAGAGAGGTGACTTTGCTACATTTGTCTCCCCTCTTTCTTTAAAGAGCATGTCTTCAAAGGACGAACCTTATAATGCCCCATCTCGGGCACACGCGCAAAATGGATTCTCAGTAAACATGGCCAGAGGTGCCTGCCTTGCCAGGTTAAATGTGGACTCACCCTCCTTTCCAGCCATGGTTCCCTTACTACTACATGGCTTTCTTCATGGGGTCCAGCCAGCTTGGTCCCCAAATGGGCCTTCAGTCTTTTCATCTCCAGGGTCTTTGCTCATGCCCGCCCCACCCTGCTTCCTTCCTTGAAGTCAATCCAAATTTACTGATCCTTCAAAGCCGCTGTTAAAAAGTCACCTCTTTCATGGAGGCCTTTCCTGACCACCTCCTCCCCACCCCCAAGCCTCATGGGCTTTTGCTGATCCCTTTTGGTCCAGTGGAATGTGCCCAAGATGGCAACATGCACCCTCACCAGGTCAGTTCCTCTGATCTTCAGGGCTGTCTCCCAGAAAGGCATCATTGGCCTCCTTTGCCCAAAAAAACCAACTGACCCTCAGGGTCCTTCAAATTCTTGAGTGGCAGAGCAGTTCCAGAACCCCAGTCTGTCTGATTCCACCCCATACTCCAGAGCCCACCCCCACCCTGGCACTCCCACGTGGCGCCTTTACCTGTACCCGCCTATTGTGCTGGTTGTGAGGTGGTAGGCATGGCCCCTGGAGTCCAGGCTTGAGTTCGAATCCCGGCTCCACTACTTGCTAGCTGCAGACCTTGGGTAGCTGATTACACTTCCCTGCCCCTTGCTTTCTACCTCTATAGAATGTAGGTGGTTAAGAATGGGAGTGTGGCGGGGGTGAAATCAGACGCTACCATCCATAAAAGGTAGAGGTCTTAGCACAGTGCCAGGCACATGGTGAATGCTTGGTGAGCGTTAGTGCTCATTATCGTGTTGGTTTCATCCTCCCGTGTGCCTCTCCTTCAGCTCCTCCTGAGCTCCTCTAGGCTAGGAACGTGCCTGTGTCTGAGTCCCCTGCTTTGCCTACACAGTGCCTGCTTCACAGTAGGCGCTCAGCAAATGAAAGTTAAATGAATTAAGAGACAATGCTGATTCCACAGCTGGCTTTTCCACCGAGGGACCCGGCTGGCTGCCACTTGGTATCCCCCAAGGATATCTGGTTTGAAGTCTAAATGACCTCCCCCAGGGTTGGGCTGAAGGCAATAGCTTCAGTGTCTCAGCAGCTTGTCCCCAAAGAGCAGCTGGCCTCTTTTTGAACTAGCAGCTTCCAGATTTTGGAGTCTATACCCAGTGTATTATTCTGCCCTCGATCCCATTAGACGTGTTGATTGAGACCCTAGATAATGTTCAAGCAGAACAGGGACCGGGTGCATGCTCTGGTAGAGAGGCCAAGAGGCTGGCACAGTTACTATGCATCTTGTTGCCTCAGCTTCCCAAGAGGCCCTGGAAGAGGGAAGTTTCTAGATAACGAAATCTATCTCTTGAAGGACAGCAGGTTTCTATTGTTTCCCCATATTGTTGGAAAACATCCATAAATGTCGTGCCTCCTTCCCCGTCTTCTTAAGTAGAACATAGAAAACATGGTACCTCACCTTGGCTACAGTTGACCAAGTGCTTTCGACCTCAGGAACTTGTTGAATCTTGCTGGCAACCCGTGGGGGGTCAGGCTCATTGTCTCCACCTCACAGGTGATGAAGCGAAGGCTCAGGGACCTTAAATGGCTCTCCCAGGAGGTGGTGGTGCCCTGCTCCAACCCTCTTCTCCGACAGAGAATCTGGAGTTATTTGCCCTGCACCTTGGCAATCTCCTACACGATGCAGCCTTTTCTTGACGACTTGAAGTCAACGACCACTCCAGGCGCAACGGCGTTTTTGTAGCTAGAACCATCTGCCCCTATACTCAGTGGCCCCAGGTTCAGAGGCTTGGTCTGTTACTATTTTCATCACTCCTGTCTCTCCCTTGCCTCCCTCCTAACAGCCTCCACGATAACTCCCTTCCTGTTCAACCGCTGCGTCTGAGAAAAGGAGGCTGACCCCTTGCTGGGATCGTGTCTCAAATAAGAGCACTTGTGGGGGTACCTGGGTGGCTCAGTCGTTAAGCATCTGCCTTCAGCTCAGGTCATGATCCCAGGGTCCTGGGATCGAGCCCCGCATCGGGCTCCCTGCTCGGCGGGAAGCCTGCTTCTCCCTCTCCCGCTCCCCCTGCTTGTGTTCCTGCTCTTGCTATCTCTCTCTCTGTCAAATAAATAAATACAATCTTTAAGAGCACTTGTGGCATCTGATCAGATGCTCGGGCCATTTTGGTTTTGTTTTCTTAGCGGTGTTTTGGATAGGTAGAGCTCCCGGCGCAATGCCCCGCAGGGAAGCAGGAGAGCAGCTCAGGGTTCGGGATGCCGCCTTTGGCGCCCACACACCTGGGGCGAGTCCTGGCTCCGTCACTTTGCAGGGCAAAATACCCAATCCCCGCCAGTCTCTGTTCTGCCATCTAGAAACTGGGGTTGATCATCTAGGCCACATGGGGACTATTGGAAGAGGACTTAGGGAGATAATCCACAAACCCTGCTTAGCCCATGCTGGCCCTCGGTAGCGTATATTTTTGTTTCTATTTCTGTAACTCGAAACATGATCGGACTCTGATCATTCATGCATTCCTTCATTCATTCCTCAGATATGTATTTATTTCCCATCTCTCCGTGCCTGGCTTTCTTATCTGCACAATGAGGGTAATAGCAGTACTTCTCCAGCCGGGAGCCGGGGGGACTTACTGTGAGGTGCTCAGAAGCCTCGCAGGGTGTCGAAGTGTGACACGCCACCAGTGCGAGTGTGTGTCAGGCTCTGCATGTGCCGGTAGGCACTGGGAATAAAGAGGGGAACGAAATAGCGTGATCTTTGACCTACGGAGCTCACAGGTTCTTCCCTCCTTATTTCCTCCACGGGGACAAAAGCCAACCAACGTTTCAGCGTCATCTGTGTCGGATGAATTGATGGGTCTGAGAGCATTGCTCGCAGAGACCTGCCAACCCACCGCTGCCACGCTAGAAGCTGACCCTAGAGTCCATGCCATGCTCCCCACCTCCCCCTCCCCACGCTCTTGCCCTTCCTCACGTCCCTGGGCTGCCAGCCCTGTGTTTCAGTTCAGCACAATCCAAAGCACCCGCAAAGGATCAGTCAGAGGAGAGAACCGTGCCCGTCTTGCCTAAGTCATAGCCTTGGAGGCCAGTGCCTGTGAAAATGCTCTGTCACCCTCGAAAAGCCACATGGGCAAGAGGTCTAGGCAGGGAGCCTGGTGAGGGGGAAAGAGCGCCGAATTTGGAGGTTGGGACCAGAGGTTATGTCCCAGTCCTACCGCTTGGTAGCTGTGTGTCCCTTCTCTCTGAGCCTTGATTTCCTCAACTGCCAAACAAGAAAGTGATAGGCTCTACCTGTCCGGTTGTATGAGGAGCAAATAGGAGTGGAATACAAATTTAAGGTAATTCAAGGTCCCCTCAAACTCGTCCTTTTAGAGGTGAGTTCACTGCTTATCAGTCTACATGGGCTTAGATTGGCCTCCCTGGACACAGACTCTGAGACAGGAAGTGCATTCTCGGGAGGCTCCCAGGAGAGACACCTGTCAGGAAGTGAATAGAGCAAGATTGGAGAGAGGGAGAAGTTGACACACAGAGGGAGAAGCTGACAGAGAGGGAGAAGCTGACACACAGAGGGAGAAGCTGGCACACAGAGGGAGAAACTGACACACAGAGGAAGAAGCTGGCACACAGAAGGAGAAGCTGGCATACAGAGGGAGAAGCTGACAGAGAGGGAGAAGCTGGCACACAGAAGGAGAAGCTGACACTCAGAGGGAGAAGCTGGCACACAGAGGGAGAAGCTGGTGCACAGAAGAAGAAGCTGACACAGAGGGAGAAGCTGGCACACAGAGGGAGAAGCTGGTGCACAGAAGAAGAAGCTGACACAGAGGGAGAAGCTGGCACACAGCGGGAGAAGCTGACACTCAGAGGGAGAAGCTGGCACACAGAGGGAGAAGCTGACACACAGAGGGAGAAGCTGACACACAGAAGGGGAAGCTGACACACAGAGGGAGAAGCTGGCACACAGAGGGAGAAACTGACACACAGAGGAAGAAGCTGACAGTGAGAAGCTGGCACACAGAGGGAGAAGCTGATACACAGAGGGAGAAGCTGGCACACAGAAGGAGAAGCTGGCATGCAGAGGGAGAAGCTGACAGAGAGGGAGAAGCTGGCACACAGAAGGAGAAGCTGACACTCAGAGGAAGAAGCTGGCACACAGAGGGAGAAGCTGGTGCACAGAAGAAGCTGACAGAGGGAGAAGCTGGCACACAGAGGGAGAAGCTGACAGAGAGGGAGAAGCTGGCACATGGAGAAGCTGACACTCATAGGAAGAAGCTGGCGCACAGAGGAGGAGCTGGCACAGAGAGGAGAAGCTGACACTCAGAGGGAGAAGCTGACACACAGAGGGAGAAGCTGACAGAGAAGGAGAAGCTGACACTCAGAGGGAGAAGCTGACACTCAGAGGGAGAAGCTGATACAGAGGGAGAAGCTGACACAGAGGGAGAAGTTGGCACACAGAGGGAGAAGCTGGCGCACAGAGAAAGAAGCTGGCACACAGAGGGAGAAGCTGACTCACAGAGGGAGAAGCTGACGCACAGAGGGAGAAGCTGGCGCACAGAGGGAGAAGCTAACAGAGAGGGAGAAGCTGGCACACAGAGGGAGAAGCTGACAGAGAGGGAGAAGCTGGCGCACAGAGGAGGAGCTGGCGCACAGAGAAACACTGATTTCATTACCAGTAATGCACCCAGGTCCCTTTCTTTGTCTCTCCAAAGCGTCATCACCTGCTCATTTACAAGACGTGTGTGCCTTCTTCTTGGACTATGCCATCACATGGTTATTTTTGCAGACTCAGAAGAGGAAAGGGAGCCAGCCTGTAGAGATGGAACCTAATTTAAAAATCTCCCTGCGGCCCTTGGAAGGGAGGCTGGCTGGGACCAGGCCTGGTCAGGGCAGAGCCTTACAACCTCCACCGGAATCTGGCCAGAGAGGGGCAGAAGTAGCAAAGACGCCTGATGAATGGGCCCAGGGCTCTGCACAGGACGCTCATTTTGAAGTTTTCCTGGGAAACTTTGTCACAGGGAGTAAATCTAGCCAAAGCTCTGTGCCTGCCAAATTCTCCAGGCTCAACGGAGCTATTGTTCATACTCCAAGTCCTGCTGTTATCAGATTTAGCCTGATTTCTGATGGGCCACCTCAAGACCACTTGCATGTTGCCGGAACAGGGGGCGCTCCTTGGGATGATGGGGGACCCTGAGCCCTCCTCTGTTGTCCTGTGAGAAGTGAGCCACATATGAGGACCCTTAGCGTTGCAATTATAACAAAAGAGCTGCGTTTCGCTGTCAAAGCATTTTACAGTATCGAGCAGCTTTACCTGCACTGTTTCCGTTGGTCCCCCCAAGTCTGTGAAGCTGAGGGCTCTGTGGGTTCAAGGAAGCTGTTCTGACTCTTGTTTCCATCTCTAAAGCAATAGCAGAGCCTCTCCGTTTGTGAGGGTTAAATCATGGAATACCTGTGAGGACCTTAAAGAAAACAGCACTTGGCATTGAGTAACTTCTTAATAAATGTTCAAAATTACTGATAGGTATTTTGGACTCACTTGATAGGAGGGGAAGCCGAGATTCAGAGGGGCTAAGCTCCTGAATGAGATACCTGATACCAAGGAAGGAAGACATGGGCAGGGGGCCCACCGTGCAAGTGGAGCTAGACTTCCTGGAGTGGGATTTCCATCACAGACCCCCTGGATGCCTTTAAACTTGGAAACAGAGGAAACACTGACTCCTCAAAAGAAACAAAGAAAGAGATGAAGGGATGTTGCCAGAAAAAGAAAAGAAACACTTGCACTTTTCAGAAACAACTGAGCCCTTCGTATCTTTATATTTAGGTCTAAATACCAGAAGGGGTATCATATTCAGACATAATTAGGTTTGAAAAAGATCCCTTTGCTCTGAGCCTTGCGTTGTGATTGGGGTTTTGCACCCATATGGCCTCGCCTCATTTTGGTCATTTTCAGGCTGGCAGACCCTTCATGAGCAGAGTAAGGTGTGATCACGGTGCCTCCAACCCCCTGGTGTCCTCAGGAATGAAGGCCTTTGGGGTTCTCGTGGTCTTTGCCTCCTGCCGTAAGTAGTACCGAGCCGGAGCCAGGCTCCAGGGCGCTGTCCTCCTGTCTGGGTGTCTGTGTCTTGGGGCAGCCCCTCCTGACGTGGCATCGGGTGAGGGGAAAACCAGGTGTCACTCAAAAGAGAATCGGGAGTGGGACAGGCTTCCACCAAAGTCCTCCTCCTTCTGTTTCTTCTACAAAATGGGTTGGTCCCAGCATTGGGACCTCACAAAACTTCGAGAAAATCAAAGCTTGCTAACCATTTGCTAAGAAAAAGGGCCTTGACTACTGTTTAACCACAACCCCCCTTCGGGAGCCTTTTTTTCCCTCCCCTTCAGTTGCCTTTGTTTAATGTCACGTAGATTCCAGAACAAAAACGCAGACATATATCGAGCTAATTTAGGGACAATTAATTCTCATCAGGAAGGCTCTCTTATGGTGACTTATGGAATAATGGATAATTATAAGTCATTGCTACCAGGAGATCAGATAACACACCTCTGCACGGTGAGAAAGAACTTACTAGCAAACCGTGTTGGGTTTGTTGGAAAACTCTTTGACTCTGATGAGTTTGATTAGTAGAGATTTCTCCAGATCCATTTTTCCTCCGTTTCAAGCTGTGTGGCTTTAAGTCAAAATGTCAAAAATGCAGCACCCATTTTCTCGTTAGTCCGTAGTGGAATTTACAGTTTTCAAGATCGTGGGGGGCAGGGCATAGGCAGGGAGGACCACTTCTGTAGCCCCCATGGTGGGCCCTCCACGAGACCAGAGTCTTCACTCTCTTGAGGGACTGTTGTGACAGCAGAAACCACCCCCGGCGTCCCCACCCCCTCTGAGGTGCTTTAGAACAACAAAACCACAGTTTCACGTGGGGAGTCTCCTTGTGAACATGTCCCAAATCCCTCTGTTTCTGTGTTTCTTCCTCAAGTTCACGTTGTTATGTTACTTTATTGCAAAATTAACATATGCATGTAATTAAAAAGTAAAATAAGTGAACAGGACAAGATAAAGCCCCTTTGCATCCTTCCCAAACCCTAGTCCTTTTCCTACACCCAGATGTAACCACTTTTTTTTTTTTTAAGATTTTATTTATTCATTTGAGACACAGAGAGAGAGAGCATGAGCAGCGGGGGAGACAGAGGGAGAGGGAGAAGCAGGCTCCCTGCCGAGCCAGGAGCCCGACGTGGGGCTCGATCCCAGGACCCTGGGATCATGACCTGAGCCGAAGGCAGACACTCAACCCTCTGAGCCACCCAGGCACCCCCAGATGTAACCACTTTAAGAGTTTCATAGATACGCTTCTAGGCTTTTCCACACATACATTTCAACCATTTTAATAGAAAAGTAATACATGGTCATTGTGGAAAAAAAAAAGTCAAACAGCATAAAAGTATATAAATGGTGTCTATCTTCTTCTCCACCTACTTCCTCAATCCCACTGCCCGGAGACATTGCTATTAAAAGTAGATGTTTTCAAGACACCATTTAGTTATTCTCCCTCTGTCAGTGGATATGTGGGTGGTGTTCAATTTTTTAATACCACAAGGGATGCGCTGCAGCAAACATCCCTGTGTGTGTGTATGTGTGTGTGTATGTATGTGTGTGTGTATATATATATTCTTCCCCCACTTCCATAAACATTCTGTAGAAGTAAAAATTCCCGGGCCCATGTATATTTGCCATAAAAAAATAGATTGAGGGCATCTTTTCTGCCTCTTGAGTGGTTTGTTTCTCCTGTGAGATCATAAATGCCTGATGATATTTGTAGGAATTGGCATATTGCTGGTTTTGAACCATTCCCGTTAATGTTGCATCAGACCCAAGGGTGTTTCTGCCAGGATGGTGGTTTTTCACTTGGGGAGGGGGAAGACATGGTGGACAGTAATGTCCCGAACATCGTGGAAGCTGGGTTCTCATCCTGGGCTAGCAAGAAACTGGCTATGGGACACGGTGTTCTGATCCTATTACTTTCCCCCATGAAAGGGGCTGATGATCCCAGCCATGCCCATGTCTGCGGGCATGTTTTGGGGGGGGTGGGTGGGGTGTCTCCTGATGTCCCGGATGCAAGCGCTCTAGGTACGGGTCTCCGGGCTGACATTGTTCTCACTACCCCGTGTCTTCTTTCTTATGTTCTGGCCGGCAGTGGTGGTCCCTGCCCACAGCAGGTTCTGGTTTCAGAAGTTGGTCAAACACATCACGGGGCGGAGCGCCTTCTTCTCATATTATGGATACGGCTGCCACTGTGGCCTTGGGGGCAAAGACACCCCCGTGGATGACACTGACAGGTGAGTCCTGAGGCGCCAGGCCTGCTTTCCTTTGATTTGCACTGAGACCCGGGCCTGAGGGTGAGGCAGGGTGTTAGGACTCTCGCATTGCGAATGACAGGAGCCCATTGGTGGTTTGCTGCTCTGTAGCCACCATCTCGAAATTCTTGTGTCCGAACAACGTGCTCCAACCTCCCGTGTTGCACCAGGCCTCGAAAATCATCCAGTGAGTCCTGCTCAGAGCCGCAGAACCGTCTTCAATTCTCAAACGTCACGGCAAACGTGATCTCCGCTCAGCAACCCAGTTTTTAGGATTAGACCACAGCAAGGCTGCCCTGCTGTCTCCCGGGCCTAATTCCACATTCCGGGAGAGAGAATCCCAGTGGCCCAGTTTGGAGAAGTTGTCCATCTGGGCAAAGCCACATGGCCCAATGTGGCTGCCAGGCCTACTCTTCAGCGTGGGGGTGGGGAGCGTGAGTCCCCAGAAGAAGTGGAGGTTGGCGTGACGTGGCGAGGGCATGGGGAGGTAGGAAACAGGATAGTTTGCACATCACTCATTTGAAGAAATAAGAAACAAGGTGTTTCTCGCCACTTTTAACCTCACATGCATAAATATGTTCCTGCGGCAGGGCCTGAAATGTCATTCCTGGAGCTTGAGTCCTCGGGGCTGGGCTCCTGAGAGCATGGAATATTCCAGCTGGAGGGATCCCTGAGCCCTACAGGGGCACTGACACTGATGGAACCCCATGATGTGCCGAGCACTGGGATTGGTGATGGGCACACGGGGCCTAACTTAATCCTTATGTCCGGTGGCCAAGGCAGTGGTACCATCCCCAGGTGACAGGCGGCATCTGTGAGGACCCCCTAAACCACCGTAGCAAAGCCTAAAGACACACCAGCCCCTGAGTGAACAAGAATTTGCCTGTTTCCAAATCCGGGCCCTTTGCCCCTCTGTTCCTCACCTTCCAAGCCCGAAGGCCGATGACAGTTTTAACGCCATGAGACAAAGATGACAAACAGCAAAGAGCCAGCTCAGAGGCAGGATGGCGAGAGGAAGGACTGAAGCATCTGGCCCAGAGCATTTGCTTTTCTGTGTCTTAAATCCGTTCCCTGTCCATCCCAGCTGCTTTCTCTTCTTGGTGTTCTCCCTTCCCACCCTGGGTCACTCTGAGCACCGTGAGAACAAGGACTGAAGGACTATGGGTGTTTTTGCTGACCCGTGTCCTCAGGGACTATCACAGTGCTTGGCACATAGTAGGTGCTCAGGAAAAACTCATTACATGAATGACCGAGTCACATGGACCTAGGTTTGAGCCCCGTGTGTGTGTGTGCGTTTGTGATTTTCCAGCTCTACAATTTTAAGAAATTTCCGTTCTTGGGATCCCGTCTCCTCCCTTACAAAAATGGGGACTACGATCACACTTCATGGGGTTACACAGAGGAGCTCATGAGATGCAGAAGGTACTAGAAAAGGCTCACTAAATGTGAGTGGTTGTGTTTATATTGTTATGATTTTCAGGAACTTACCTCCTTACCTTCAATACCTTCTCGCTCTGGGGAGGAGGCAGGGGGATCCTTTCCAGGTTCTACCCACGTTTCTCCCCCCAAACCCCGCTGATGCCCCAGGGCCTGCCCCCCTCACCTGCTCTGATCTGGCCCCCAGATGCTGCCTGATGCATGATTGCTGCTGCGGAAGCTAAAGCAGCCCGGCTGCCAGCCCATGCTGAATAGCTACCGATTCCACATCGCCAATGGGACCATGGCCTGTGAGTAGCCCTCTCTGCAGACACATGGCTTTGAACCTGGGCCTCTCCTTCATGTCTGCCTGCTGGCTGAGGAGTGCTTTGAGACAGAAAGCGTCAATTCTAGGAATCGGAGCTTCTTGGGAGCGCTTGCTTTGTCTCTGGTCTCTCCGGTCCGTGGCTGTACCCCTGCACTCTCGGGGAGCACGGAGCGCGGGGCCTGGGGTATAACACCTGCTCAATAAATAGTTGTTGACTTGAGATTACATTGAATCTTGCAGCTTTGCTTGGCAACTGTCGCTGTTGAGAACATTCTTCGTCTGTCATGTGTTAACAAACAGCTCAGCTGTCTTTCAGTTGAACAAATATTTGTTGAGGGCGAGGACATGCCAAGCACTGGTAGGTGCCGTGGGAGGGGGGGCACAAAAGTAAATAGGAGGGGTTGGGGAAGGGAACTCATGTGTCGTCGAGGCCATTCAAGGAGGAGGGCAAAGGACAAGGGCAAGCAAGTACTGAGCGTCCAGCAGGTGGGGAATGGCCCCCGATATCCTGGAGCATGTTCTGGGGCTGTTGGGGTGTGGGTGTGTGTAGGGCAAGTTTGGTCTAAAGAGCAAGCACGTTTGAAGTCCTGGCTATAGCTTTTCCGGGAATGCCACTCATTGCAGTGGTTTTAATGCCCCTCAGGGCAACTGGCCTCCCACCTGGACTTGAGGAGTGGCACCAACCCCTTTCCTCCCTCTGTGTATTTGTGCTTAGCTGTGAGCGTGTCGGAGTTCACCTGCCCCCCGAGGTCAGGGAACCACTACCTCCCTTCCCTTCATCTCCCCCCTTAGGGTGGGGGCTCAGTGCCCAAACCCCAGGGCTCCCCAATGCCCCCCCACCCCCGGGCCCCAGCTCAGGACACATCAAGACTGACCAAGCGTTAGGACTATGCAGTGTCCCTGGTCCAGTGGTGAGACCTGAGCCGGGGCGGGGGGGGGGGGGGGCTTGTGGCTCAGAACCCCGCAGTGGGAGGACTGATGGTCTGCTTCTCAGGCTCCACAGCCCCCAGCCCCCACGCACACCATCGATGGGGAGAACCCTCATTTCCCATGTGAACTCAAGGAGACATCTGTGCCGGAGCTCCCTGGCCATGATGGTGCTGACCCCTAAAGCAGTGTGTCTTCTGGGAGATCTCGCATACCACGTGCAGGGGATGGGATGAGATCAGGGCCTAGTGGGGGCGGTGCAGGGGAAGGGGGCTGGAGGAGGTTGCCCCCAGAGTGTTGTTCACTTTGGCACATGATGCCCTCGGAGGCAGGGACTGAGTCTCTGGCTGCCTCTTCCCACCGTTCTGGGCCCCGCTTGGCAGGAGTCAGGGGGGCAAGCCTGGCGGTTAGCTGGAGCGGGCGCACATGAGAAAGGTGCCTCTGACTCTTCTCAGCCTGGCTCACGGTCTCGCTCCCATACGGTTTCTTCTCCTCTCTTTTCCTCTTGATCATAACATCTGTCATGTCAAGTGTTACCTTAAAGTGCTTGAAAAGTTATCACTTTTAGAGAAAATATCCCCGAGGAGTTCTGTCCTCTGGTGCCCCCGTAAAGTGCAGGGGCCGAGGAAGAAGGGAAAAGGTGATCTGGGAAGGGAAGCAGAATTCTGCCCGCACTGTGGTCCCAGGCTCGGGGCAAGCCTCTGCCCTCTGCACCTGGAGCAGCTGCTGCTTCTCCTTCTCCTTCTCCTTCTCCTTCTCCTTCTCCTTCTCCTTCTCCTTCTCTTCTCCTTCTCTTCTCCTTCTCCTTCTCCTTCTCCTTCTCCTTCTCCTTCTCCTTCGTCTTCGTCTTCTTCCTCTTCTTCTTCTTCTTCTTCTTCTTCTTCTTCTTCTTCTTTTTTGAACAGCTTCTTTAGCAGCGCTCTTCCCCCTCCCATGTAGGGCCAGAGCCACAGCCTGGGACCCCAGGAGATGAGGGAGAGAGTGATCTGGGGCAGAGGCTGGAGCACGCCCCCCAAGGTGGCACATGGAAACATCCTCTGCTTGGCACCTGCTGAGTGGTGGTGAGAGGTGCAGGCAGGGGCTGGGAGCTGGGCTGAAAAGTTTGCAGCCTGGGTTGTGCTTTCCACAGATGCTGCCAGGCAGCCAGTTGCCCTCAAAACTTCAGCAGACCTCCTGGAGTCCAAAGCCCTGCTTAGGGAGTTAGCACGGGGAGGGGGCAGGTGCTTCCCCATCACCAGCAGGACGTCAGCATCCTCCTCCTTGGCTGACCCAGCCAATGAGTACCAGGCCAACTCCCTGTCCTCCCCACCCGACCTTGCCGAGCCCCAGCTCCCAGGAGTAGGGCTAGGAGTTGGGTGATCTGGGTTCTGATCCTGGGTCCGCTGCTGGTACCTGCTGAGCCCACAAACCAGACCCAGGCACATTTATTTACTTGTCCAGTATTGCTTGAGTGACTCCTGGGTGCCCATCCAGGGCCAGCACTGTGTAGGGGCTGGGGCGCAGAGCAAGGCAACCTCAGGTCCTGCTCTTCTGGCATTCTCCAGAGCTAAAAGTGCCCTTAGGGACCCTTGAGACCAACCCCTCATTGTAGGGACAGGGAGACTGAGGCCCAGAGAGTTTAAGAGTTTGATCTGAGTAACAGGCAAGATTGAAACACATGCATCTTCAGCCTTTCCAGTGCTCTGGAACACACTGCTTGGCCTGAGTTTTCTGGGCCTCAGTTTCGTTATCCATAAAATAGGTACATTAGCAACAGCTGCAGTCTGTGAGCATCTGTGATAGATTCTTTACACACAACACCTTAACCCCCAGGATATACCTTTGAGGTGGGCATGGTTATCAAGAAGGATCCTGAGGCTCAGAGAGGTTAGCTGAGATGGCCACGGTCACACAGCCAGGGAAAGAAGAGTTGTGAGTCGGACCCAGTTTGTCTGGTCCCAGAGCTGGTGCTCCTGCCTCACATTGCCCTCCCCAGTGGCATGGAGCTGCCAGGAGGGTGTTGGGCAGGTGCACTTGGTTGGAGAGCTCCCACAAATGCAAGTCTTGTTGTCAACAGCATACTCATCAGAATGCTCAGTGCTGGCCCAGGGGACAGAGAAAGGCAGATGGACTCGGCCCCTCTGTAATGCCCCAGATCTTTCTGTTCTAGCTTTATGTCCCCTGCTAAGAGGCCCAGAGAGAGCACATACTTTGGAGTCAGGCAGAGCTGGGTCTGAGTCCCAGCTCCACTGCTTCTAGCTGGATAATCGCACAACTACCCTCGGCCTTAGTCTCCTTGTCTGTAAAATGGGGATAATAATCTACACTTCATAAAGTTGCTAAAGGAACCCCACTAAAGGGTCTGACCCATAGCAGGTGTCTAGGTAATGCCTTTCCTTTTAGAAGCTGAGACTTCTTTTTGCACCCAAGTTTTCTTTTTCCCTTTACTTTTGCAGAAAAGCACTGGGATTTTCTTCATTACTGTTAGGAGATTTCTTTGAAGCCTCTCCTCTACACCCGTACCTCTTCAAGCTAATGTCATTAACTCCCTAGGGAAGAAAATCTCTTCCCCCCTCCACCCCAGTTACACTGTGGTTCAAAGAGCAGCCCTGCAAGGGTTAACTGCCTCCCCCTCCCCCATCCCCCCCCCCAGCCTCCAAGTTCTGAAATCCTGTACCCAGAGCCTGGCCCCGGGTTGCCTAGCAACCAGCAGCTGATCTGGGATGCAATTGGTGAGAAGGAAGGGAAAGGAGAAAAACAACTTGGCCTGTCCATGTCTTTAAATGTCACTAGGAGATGAGTGCAGAGAAAGGCCTATAACCCAAGCCCTGGGGCCAATTTGCCAGGTGGCAAAGGCCACCCTCGAGCAACCAGGGAGATTGTTATCCCCCCTCTGAGTGGGCTTACATAAGTACTTGGCATTTGCAAGGGACTTTAAGATTAGCCAGCAGATGCCCCCCTCCACCCACATAGACATGTATGCGTTGTGCAGGCGGCATGGGGGGCAGAGACCAGTTTCCAGCCACTGGTCCACTTACACCTCCATGCCTGAGCTTCTGACTTCTCCCTCTGCCAGTGAGGGAAGGTGAACACGGTAACCACTGGAATTTGTGGTTTGCAAAGCTCTTTCTCCTTCATTACTAAATGTATTCCTCACAACACCTCCACTTGCTGACACATCACCTTTTTTTCCTCCTAGCGTTTGTCTCTACCTGAAATTACCTTGTTTATTTATGCATCCGCTGTCCTGCCAACCAGAATGTGAGTTCGGGGGGAGCAAGGGACAAGTCTGTCTTGTGTTTGGGGGTGGGCACTCATCCTCATTAGAACCCACAGAGAAGGACGCCCTGGGAGCTATGCCACGTGGAGTCTGCTTGCTCAGACCTGCAGCTCCAGTGCCGAAGGCCAGGCACATGTTCAGGACTGAGTACCTGTTTGATGAGTGAATGAATGAACTCATGAAATAGTTAATGCAAGTGTCTGTTTCCTGACTTGAAAGCTGCGGAAACCGGCTTGGGGACCAGCAGCTAGCCTGAGATCCTAAAGCACACAGGTGGTGGGTCTGGATGGAGAACCTGGCTTCCCGTTTCCTGGAATGGGGATCCTTTTGCTGTCCCGCAGAAGGTGAACATCCAGCCTAAACACTGCGTGTTTATGGCTGAAGATGTGCAATGAGAAGACAAATTCCCTGCCCAGGGGGCTTGCCTCCAGGGAGGGAGTCAGGTCCCCAAATACTGAGAAATAAAGTGCTACAACAAGGCAACAGGATACAGAATGATGACGTCAGGGAGAGGGAAGGATGGCTACTTCCTGGGGCTGAAGAAGCCCTCGCAAGGAAGTGGCATTTAGCCAGTGTGGCAGGAGAAGAGGCGATGGGCAGCGGGGCCGCGGAGGGTGGTGGTGCACGGGAAATGGGGGGGCACCGGGCTGGGCCAACAGGTGTGGAGGGCGCCTTCTCCTTCCATTGCAGGGGAAGTGGCCAGAGTGTTTGCAGCAGGATATGGTCCACTCTTGCTTTAGAAAGATCACCCTGGCCACTGTCCAGTGTGGTTGGGGAACCAGGGAGGAAAGATGGGGAGCCATTAGTGAGCACTGGGGAGAAGCTTCCACAGGGTGGTGGAGTGGAGGAGAGAAGTGTCCGATGCTGGGTGTTTTGGAGGTAAATTGCCAGGAGCTGCTGATGGATGAGATGCCGGGTAAGAAGGAAAAAGAGATGGAATTCAAGTTTCCCGGCCCAAGCAGCTGTAGGTAAGGTGTTGTCCGAGCTTGTGCAGATGGGGAAGAGCAGGTTAGGGAGACACAGCAAGCACTTGGCATGAGCCCTCTTGAGTTTGAGATGCATATCAGACACCCGACAGGTAGTCAAGTGGACAGGAGCATATCGGAGTCTAGAGCTCAGGGGAGACACCTGGCTGGGATGAGAACCCCAGAGTCATGGGTGTTCAGATGGCATTTATTATTTTTTTATAAATAGATTTTATTTATTTGAGAGACAGCGTGAGATAGCACACCAGCAGCTGGGGAGGGACAGAGGGAACAGAGGGGAGAGACAGAGGGAGAAGCAGACTCCCCGTGGAGCAGGGAGTCCGATGCGGGACTCGATCCCAGGACCCTGGGATCATGACCTGAGCTGAAGGGAGATGCTTAACTGACTAAGCCACCCAGGCGCCCCTCAGATGGCATATAAAGCCCTGAGACTGAACCAGAGGCCCAGGGAGAGACTTGAGAGAGCAGGGCGGAGGCCTGGCAGGAGCCCGAGTTCTCCGTGGCGAACATTCCTGTAGAGCGTCCTGCTTCGTCCCATTTGTGGGAGCCTACGTCACGGACTGAGAAAGACGGCCCTAAAGCCACCAGTTCCTTTCTTCATGTCTCAGCTCTTGTCTCAGTGTCTCCACTCACAAACTGGAAGATGCAGAAACTGGATTCAGGCTGGTTTTGAAAAGATGGCTTGCAAAGAGGACATTTCTTGGCCCGGGGGCTGCCTCTCCTTCCAGGTCTCGACAGGCCTGGTCCGGCCATGGCTGTGGGATGCCCCAGAACTGGTAGCCCACAGCCGTTGACCCCTGCTCAGATCAGTTGCCAGGGGCCTGGGCCCCAGGAGGGGGGTGTTAGAGGTGCCCTGTGCTTCAGGAGAGAGTCATACTCTGTGTGTCAGAAAGGACCAGACAAAGCCAGAAAGGGACAGGGAAGTGAGAGAAAGGACAAAGGACAGGTGAGATGGAAAAGAGGAAGAGAGGAACAGAAGACAGAAGTAGCCAGAAAGAGGACAAGGAAGAGGAGGGGCAGAGGCAGAGTGACAGCGCTCCGGGTGAGTGACAGGCCCTTTCCCGAGGAGAGTGAGGTTGAAGGGGGCAGTGCCCTGCATCCAAGTAGCCCCCTGAGGACACCACCCACAAGTCCAAGTGGGCCCCTGCAGACCACGGCGGCCACCCCGGAAGGAAGCAAGGGGTGTACTGGGTACGAGGGAGGCCAGAGACCCGGAGGGGCTTGGAAGGGGCTCCTGGGGGAGCTGGGGCTTGATGGATCCCGGAGGATTTTCACAGATGGAAAGAGGCAGTGCGAGGGCAAAGGTGACCCAGGTGTCAAGAATAGTGGGAGTGACAGGAGCCGAGAGCCAGGGGCGGGAGCATCCCTGGCACATTTCATGAGGGTGCACGGAGGGCACAGCTGAAGCGTAGGATGGCTGTCGAGAAACCAAGTCTCCGGGGAGATGCCAGAGGACAGCTTGCTGCAGGAATCGGACTTCGGAGGGAGAAAGGCAAACAAACAGAGGCCAGCCAGCACTGGGGCCAAGTTCAAAGGGCTCCTCTTCTTCCAAGAGGCAACACCATCATCATCACCATGAGCACTTACGGAGCACTCTGGGCGCGCCCGCCACATGCACACCACTCTCTCCCGAAACAGCCACGAAAACCCTCGCAATGATCCTGCACAGTAGACACCGTTATTTATTTTCGACACTATTATAGTTTTTATCATCATTTTGTAAATGTGGATACTGACTAGCTTGCCCATGATCAACAAACTGGGGAGTCAGGCTGCCTCCCTTCCTCCCCCTGAACCCTCAGAAGAGAGCAGAACACACACACACACACACACACACACACACACACACCCCCCCAAACACGACAGCTCTGACAAGTAAATAAAAGATCCCCATCTAGTGGTGACTCGGCCAAAGGGCAGACACTCAATCCCAAAGGCCCAGACAGAGGCTGGGTTCATTTATCAGCGACTGTCCGTGGAGCACCTACTACGTGTCAGCATCTGTTCTGCATGCTGGGGATACTGTGAGGGCCGAGACAGGCAAAGGCCCGGCCTCACAGAGCTCACACTCCGTCGAGGGGAGACAAACACACTCAAGTAAACACATAAGAGACACCCGGGTTGTGCAAAGCACAGTGAATGAGATAGACGGGATGTGCAGGAGACTGGCTGGAGGGAGCTCTAGGTCGGGGGCCCGGGAGGGCCTCTCTGAGGAGGGGAAATCTCACCAAGGCCCAAAGGAGGAGATGGATCCAGTTGCTTGAAGGTCCTGGAGACAAGTGTTTTAGACAGAACAGTGTGAGCAAAGGCCCCGGGACAAAAGGGAGCCAAGCATAGAGAGGCCAGTGTGCCCAGAGCAGAGTGAAGGACGGTGGGGATGGAGAGGTTGGCGAGGGCCGGATCACGGCGAGGCTGCTCTCGGCCCCTGGTGAGGATTTGGGTATCTTCCCCCAATACTAGGAAACTGCGCTGGGGCTTGAAGCAGGAGAGTGGACCTGATCGGGGTGACAGTTTAAGAAGGTCCCATTAGGGAGGACGAACTGGTGGTGACAGGGAGTGGGGGAGTGGCCAGGAAGGTGGAGGGGAGAGGGCGGAGCGTGAAGTACTCTAAACAGAGACACGGGTGGTGCTTGCTGTGGACTGGATGTGCAAAGTGGGAGGCAGGGAGGAACCCAGGCTGCTGCTCACTTTCTGGCTCGAGGAGGAGGTGATGCCGTTTGTGAGCCTCGAGCGTGGGTGAAGGACAGGTTCGTGGGCAGAGGGAGCACTACATCGAGTGTTCCTTTTGAACGCCTTAAGTTGGGGATGCCGGAGACGTCCCAGCAAGATGTCAAGAAAGCAGCTGGAAGTGTGAGGTGAGTTCTGAGAAAGTGGGTCCCGTGTCCTTGGCCTGCATGCCCACTCAGGGCACCCCTCCATGCAGTCCAGCCTCCCCCTCCCCACTTCCTTCCAGGCTGCTCTTCACTCTAGTCCCTGTGGCATGTCCAGGTGTGACCGGGGACCCCGGAGATGGACTCCCAATTTCTTCCCTTTCTGTTTTCAACCCTTGACCCCTTGCTGCAAGCCCCTGTTTTCCCCAACCTTAGAACCAAGCGAAGCCCCCAGTGACCCTTTCTCTCTCTGCAGGTTAGTGTGCCCTTGGCCCCAGAGTCAGCTGTCTCTGCGGGCTGTGGGCATGTGAGTGTGACAGGCAGTCTACATATTGCTTCAGAGAGAGCCTGCCCACCTACGAGAAAAACTTTGAGCAGTTCTTCTCCAGCCGGCCCCGCTGTGGCAGGCGGAAGCCCCAGTGCTAGGCAGCCCCGGGCCCCCTCGTCGGCCAGCATGGGATCCAGTGTCACCCGTCCTTCCAGAAGCCTTCTCACGCTATCCCCTACAGGCTCTAGTTCTGCAGTCACACTTCAGCACATGGCCTAGGGTACTCCTTTGTCACTCGACCCTGAGGGCAGCCGATCAGCATTAGAAAAAATAAAATCCAGGCATGCTATGGAGGGAGACAGCCCCTATATATAGACAAAAATAAGTAACATTTTCTGATAGTCACAAGTGCTAAGAAGCACTCCAATAGGTGACAGGATAGAGAGCTGTTCCCAAGCCCCGCCCAGGAATTTCCAAGACGGGAAAACGACCCAGGATCTACCCTAAACTCTCCCTCCAACCCCCTGCCCTAAAATCAGGATGCAGGGCAGACCTGGGAACCGGGTTTGCAACCCACACCCAGCCGGGGGCAGAACAGGGATCCCGGAAAACACGGTCTTGGCACACAGCCAAGGATCTGAGAGATGCCCTTGGACTTTGTTTCTCATCTGTTGGGGTTCTGCTCTCTGAAATCCCTCAAGTAGGAAAAATTAATGCCATTTCCATCTCTCCGGAGACAGGGCATGAGGATATCCACACCCACCACTGTCACATGTGTGTCATGGCCCAAGATGTCACAGAGAGGAGAAAGGGCCTGGAAGAGGGCATCAGAGGGCCCCAAAATTTCCATCCAAATTCAGAAGGCCCTGGTGATATCAGACTTAGATTCTAATGAACACCAAAGTGACCTGAGCTGAGCAGATTCTGTTCTTTATAATGCCCAACTGGCATGGCAGAATGTAAAATTGGCCCCAATTGTCCTTACCTTGCTGCATCCTTGCCTCTCGTGAAGGAACGCTCGGCTTTGCCCATGGAGAAGGAGAGTCTGCCCAGTGGTTGAATCCAAACTCCGTGCTGGCCCTGTGAATTACTTCGGTCAATAGAATGTAGTGGAATGTTTGGATGGTCTACCAGTTCCCGAGCTTAGGCTTCTGGAGGCCTGGTGCTCTGCTTTCCCAGGACGCCGGGCTCTGCCTGGCCCACTGGCAGGTGGGAGCCAGAGTCCGTCAGCCCAGCCGTGTCCACTCAGACCTCAGACACATAAGAGCTCTCAGCAAAGGTCAGCAAAGCCCACTCATTGCTGACCGTGACCCACGAGAGCAGCTCGCTGGAACTGAAATAGCTGTCCGGCTGAGCCCAGGAGAAGTTGCCGATTGCAGAACTGTGGGCTGAATAAAGCCTGCATTTTTAAGTCACTAAGGGGTGTGAAGTGAGTTCTGAGAAGTGGGTCTCGTGTCCTTGGCCTGTGTGCCCACTCAGGGCACCCCTCCGTGCAGTCCAGCCTCCCCCTCCCCATTTCCTTCCAGGCTGCATTTTTAAGCTCAGTGATACAAGGGGTCTTCATTCATGGAGACTCCTGGGTTCTCAGCACTGTGCTATGCTTGGAGGCCAGTGAAAACACTGTGGACATGGCCCCTGACCTGTACCTTGAGGTCTGGGAGGAGAAAGGCCATGCTCATATAATAAGGGAGAACACGCAGAGGGCCGTGATCACACAGTCATCCAACAAACATTTAGTGAGCCCCCAGTGAGTGTCGGGCACCCCCACCAGGGCTGGGCAGTAGGGATTCAGAGACTTTAAGAAAACAAACAAAATCAGGTCTCAATACCCTGGGGTGAACTTCAAGAGTCATAGCAGCCTTTAGAAGTTCAAGTTCAGACATTTAGAATCTGGATTGAGTGATGCTGTCACTGATGTGAAGACAGTAAGGGAAGCCAGGGGCGGTCAGCAGAGGGTCTGGGAGCCGGGGCTCCGGGCTCTGCCTCACTCAGCGGGCAAAGCCGAGTGGTAAATTTGTCCTTCTTTCCTTCCTTCCTTCCTTCCTCCCTCCCTCCCTCCCTCCCTCCCTCCCTCCCTCCCTCTCTTCCTTCCTTCCTTCCCAACCCGCATGTGCTGTAGTAATTACAACCGCAGAAGAGGAGCTTGAGATTGATGGGCATTCATTGGTGACAGTCTTAAAGGTCTGAGGTAGGCGGTTGCAGAAAGGCAGGTGTGGGACTAGCGTGGCTGGGTCCAAGCCAGGCACCTCCGCTCCTAAGAGGTTTCTGACCACAGCAGAGGCCAGCTCAGGACTCTGGACATATCCGGCCATCTGCCACCGAGAAGGAGGCTGGCCAGGGCTACATTCAGCAAGGGCAATGGAGGTTTCAGTGAGAGATCAGACCACCTTCCTCTCCCTGGGTCTCAACTCCTAATGTGTAAAATAGAGGGAATTGGCCCATGCTAGCGTCCAAGCCCTGCTCGATTTTGAAAGGTGAAACTGCAGAGGGATGTCGTTGACTTTCACTTGGGAAAGCCTGCTCTCCTGGAAGGATAGCCATTCACCCATCAGCAAGTGCACTCTCAGGACCTACTCCAAGCCAGGCCCTGTGCTAAGAGCAGACAAACAAAGATGCATCAGACTCCAAGTGGCTCTCAGAACAGGGGACACAAGTCAACAGGCAATCACAAAGCAGGCTGCAGAATATGCTGGAACGGGGACAGCGTGGGGAGCAATGACTGCCATCCAGGAAGGCCAGGCCAGGCTTCCCAGAGGAATGCTGGGGGTCTGACATCTCACCTGTGAGCCAAATCATGAAGAGGGCTCTTGGAGTGGCCAAGTGGGGTGTGCAGAGCCTCCCGGTAGAGGGATGGAAGGTAATTTGATATGCACGCCAGCGAGGGCCTCTGCCACCTGCCTCTCCCCATCTCAGTTGCAGGGCCCTCCTCCATCCTTGCCCCCCCCCACACACCCAGGGCAAAAATCTGCATGTCAAATTCTTTCTCTCCTATCTCACATCCCACATCCAATCTGTTGGCACTCCTTTCAAAATAAAACTAGATTCTGTATGTATTTATAAAATACTTAGTAAAATGCACACATTAAAAAAATAAAACGAGAGCAGAAACATCTAGAATCTGAGCACTTCTCACCCACCTTGGGGGCTGCCATGATGGTTGGTGGGAGCCACCATCACCCCAGTGGGCGTCGGCAGCTGCTCTTCCTCATTCTCTCCGACCCCACCCTGGGCCCCTGGAATCTCTTCCGCACTCAGCCACCGGTCAGCCAGCAGAGTGCCTGGTATCTGACCAGGTCCCTGCTCTACTCATGCCCTCCAATGGCTCCCCATTTCCCTCTAAGAGCCAATGTCCTCCCCATCCTGCTTCTTGACTCAGCTCCTGCACCACCTCAGCTACTCCGGCCTCCATGCTGTTCCCTGAGCACAGCAGGAATGGCCCCTCCAGAGGACTCTGCCCCGGCTGGCTGTTCTCCTTGCCTGGAAGGGGCTTCCCACGCCCTATTGCCTCCCTATTGCCTCCCACTGCGCTGGGGTCTCCCCGCCTTCGTAAAGCTGATGCCGACCACCCTATTGGATACTGCCCACCGGCCCCTGGCATTTCCCTTCTCCCTGGTCCTGCCCCTTCCAGTTCTGTTCTCTGCCGCTCAGCGCGCTCCGTCGGTCTACCCCGCCAGAGTGTAAGCTCGTGAGGGCAAGGATCTTTGTCGTCTTTTTATTTTTTTTAAATCACTGATGTAAATGTTGAATGGCATCGTGGTCAAGAGAGAATGTGGGACATAAGGGGATGGCCAGTAGCTCAGAGTGGGGAGCAGGGAATGCGGGGAGTGGTTTTTCAGAGCCAACACACGTGAGGAGGTGGGCAGGGCTGGGTGAGGGAGAGCCCTGCTGTCCCCCTGAGAAGCCTGGGCTTGATCCTGGGAGCAGTGGGGATACTCCTCCACCCCATTCTCTGCAACGCAACCACTCTGAATGTGTGAACTTGGGCAGCTCAAGCGTCTGGAGCCCCAGTGTCCTGGCGGGGGGCAATCTAGACGGCTGAGAGCGTGGCCTGCGGTAATAGGGGGCACCCCCAGGGAGGTGGCAGGTGCTCCATGAGGTTCATTCACGTCACCACCGGGCACTGTCGGAGTGAGCACCCCGCCTCCAAGGGGACAGCCTTCGAAAGTGGATGTATTTTTACAGCAGCTCTCCGTAGATTTTCCCCGGCTGTGTCTCACTACCTGGTGAAGCTACCAGCCAGCGAGGGAGGTGGAGCCGTGGTCACTCCCTCCACAGGGTGCTGGGCTCAGTGCCCTTCTGGGGAGACGCTGTCGCTGCTCTGGGCTGACTGCGTGTGCGGGGGCTGAGTCTGTGACACCATTGTCCTGCATTCCCACTCCCGGGGTGTCTGTGAAGCTGTGAAAGGCGCGGGGAGGAGCAGATGTGGGGACGGTGGCATATGGCAGCGTGGGCGTGGCTGTGGGCCTGACAGGCAGGTGGCGCTGGGGCGTGGTGGGGAGTGAGGTGACTGGGTTTCTGGGTCAGGGAGTGCCTGGGCTGGTGGCTGCTGGGATGGGTCAGGCATTGCTGAGCTTGCTGGAAGTGGGATCACATCCAGATGCGAGAACAAAGTGGGGGCATGGTCCGGGCCCCAAGACCCTGAGCGGGGAGAGGGGGAGTCCACATGGGCCCCCCCAAGCAGACCTCGGTCCTGAGCACTCCCCTTGTCCAGACACAGTGCTACCTTCAAACACAGGTGCTGCTAAAAGCTCCAATTTGCTGCTAGACCACACAGCTAACACGTCCAGAGCAGGGGACTTGAGCCCAGTGTTGTCAGACTCTGCCCCCTCTACCCTACGGTGCCCCTCAGCAGGCTTGTCCAGAAGGAATCCAGAACCGGAGAGACTGGGGGGGGGCGGGGGGGGGCAGTGACCACGGATGTTACTCCAAGGGTTTAAACACTTGCCCTAGAGGGAGGCCTAGTTTGTGGCTAAGCCACTAACTCATTGTGTGGTTTCGTCCATCCATCCAGGCTGGGCACTGTGGATTCAGCGGGAGTAGCGGGGGTTCCCCCTCAACCTGAGACTCGCAACCCAGGTGGGGACACACAGACGCCAACAGGACAGTGAGGAGAGGGGAGCCCAGATGCAGGCGCACCTCGGGGCACCCCATCCGGACC